TCCAAGCAGGACGTCCAGTTGCTTCTCGAACCACGGAGAACCAGCCAGACCTCTTTGCGAGCAATCAAAGCAACGCAACGCAATCCATCACGCCATCTTCCGGATCCAGCTCATCCATCAAGAAGATTAGGGAAGAGAGGCCTACTTGATCCGCATCTGCCCCAGCGTATCCTACTGTTCCTGTTGGGTCCCATCCATCGTCCTTCAGCCTGCCCAGCCTTGAGTCACCTGTTTCCCGCCTTTGACTCATCCGACATCCGAGTCACCACGTCGACGTCAAGCTAGTCCACGGGAGCCGAACAGTACTTGACCAAGCTACGACCCGTCGTCGCTTGACTGCTTCTCACTTCACTCGCCTGCCCTCCTTGGTCACGCTCAAGACATCGAATGCTGCCTGCATAACATCGGACGCCCCGGCCGACTGGGTAATCTGCTTGCCAGCAAGCGATTGACTGCTGAGAGAACAAGACTCGACGGTGCTAGTCATCGACCACCCGGCGTCTCACATCGACCAGCTCCAGCCTCGTGCCTGTTCGAGTTCCTCGTTCGACCGACCATCACGCGAGTCCCTCCACCAGCCAAGCTCACCACACTCTTCCAACCACGAAACAACAACGTCCCTGCCGCCGTCTCGCCCCCGACTGCTGCAACAACCGTTCTCAACGTCTTTCACTACATCTTCCCTATCTTGTTCCACCCGGTCTTCCATGTCCTCATAACGACCCTTGACTCTTTCGAGCAACTCTGCCCCAGCGCCTTTCACGAAAACTACAACGACCATCGCTTCTTTCCCATCTGTACCGACCGTTCGATCCAACCAACCAGTTATCAATGAGCCTCTGATACGTGAACGAACAGGAGTTTTATATCGTCTTATTTGTCTTGACCGACCCGCACATTTTCTGTACATTCAGCACGCAACTCTCAAGAGCATTTCTTCATCGTCCCAGTTGGGCCGTCAGCAACAACCGCAACCCTCGCCCGGTGTCCCGATCACTCGTATCGTCTGAATCACCACCACCGGCATCTGCTCCGTCACTACCCCTCAGTCCCAGTCTTTGAGCAGCGGACATCGAGAAGGAAGCACAAAAAGGAGTTTTACACACCTGCTTGTATCACCACTTCATCGATATTTCATCAACATCTTCCTCTTCCTGATACCCTTCGAACAACAATTTCTTATCATCATTTTCTTCACACATACACACAATGTCTTGCCTTCGAGACAACTTCCAGAGCGGCGTCCTTCTCGACGGCCGCTACCAAACACTCTCCCCTCTCAACGCCGGCTCGTTCGGCATGGTTTTCAAGGCCAAGGATACTTTCACTGGCGAGACAGTCGCTATCAAGTGCCTTGCCAAGACGCCCGACGCTGACGACGAATGCATGGCCTTTGCGGTTGATGACAAGTCTGAAGAGAAGCAGCTGCACGGCCGCTTGTCCCATCACAACATTGTCAATCTCGTCCGTGCCTTCGAGACGGAGTCGCACTCATATCTGGTCTCGAGTCTGCTCCGAGTGACTTGTATGAGGCGATCGCACGGCACGCCCCTCGAGACAGAGCACGTACGTCAGTCATGCTCGAGCTT